GAGCCAACCACATTTTTATAATTCTTCCAACTACGTAAGTTATGGCTGACCTAACAATGTATTATAGTTCTCATAGACACAATATTGGTCCATGCAATTTATGATGCGGTTGTCATAAACCAAAACGAGCTTTTAACTTGGTAAGGTGTAATTGCACTCCAGTCGGACTGGCAGTATTTGCATCATTTCTCACTCTAAAAAATTTTAGAGAGTAATATACAAATGAGACACAGGATTTTATTTCTAGAATTTAGATTACTTCGAAATATATTAGAAGATTAAACGCGACGTTCTTGTCGCGCTTTGAGAAGACGCCGGCAAGGAGAGGGGTAGTTCCCGCTGGGTAGACAATTTGCATTTTCGTTCTCGGCCTCGAGGCACCTTCGTCTTCGTATCCAAATATCATGGCGCTTCAAGGAGTGTTTTCGATGCAATTCGCGCGAAAGAACACCGGCGCGGCCGAAGACACGCAGCTCGGAAAATTGCGGGATAGGATGAGGGGCTCCTCATTTCATCCCTTCCCCCCCCCCCCCGCCCCAACTCTTCGGAATATTGCTTTTCGGTTTTTTCTCCTCGACGCCGGCACTAAAGTACTAGCGAAACCGACGTCCACATCGCTCCGAAATGGGTTTTGTCGTCCTCCCCTTGGCCAAAGTTATTTTTTCAGCGCCGGAATATTGGAAACGTTAGTTAGCGCGCAATTAAAACTTGGATAAAGTGATAAATATTACTCAGAGGAAGTCGCTCGAAATTATAAAAGCGGATTATTTGGGAATCGAGCTCGTTCTGAATTCATGACGGTCCACAGCGGCGAATCGAGGATTCCCAAGTACTGGGCCGCGTTATGCAAGTTCGGACGATTTCAATTTTCACGTTATGCCATTTTCAAATACTGATTATTTGACACAACTGATTATTTGACATAACGAGGCGAAAATGTCGAAGCCTTTTTTTTCACTCGTATTTATCGGATGATAAAAAGAGCCGATTCAATTTCTGATTCAATTTTCTGGCTGATTCAATTTCCACGATGGTTTGTAAACCGAGTTTGCATCGAACGCTGTATTCATTTATTACATCCTCTTGAAAATGAATAGGATTACAACGGCAGATGAAATTACATTGAAGCGCGGTAATGACTCTTCATTTCTCAGTGTCTCTTTGTTTCCGGGCGCGGGATTATGAAGAATGTCACATTTGTTTTATTTTGTACGATTTTTGTCCCGTGTCGCGAACAACAAACGAAATAAGTTCGACTGTGTCCGCGTCGCGCGGTCCGGACATTCGATCATCCGGGAGGCGCGAAAGGTGAGGAGATTTATTTCGGAGTGTGCCGGATGAAATGCATTCGGCAAAGCGTATTAGAGAGAATACGCGAGAGCGCGGCGACTGCTGCCGTTAATGTTATCCTGTTCTGTCAACCGACGCGCGAACACCCCGTAATTTCGCCGCGGGAGAAACGATCGCAGGTGGAATTTATCCTCTTCGTTCGCGCGGGAGGCGCGCGATTATATTTTATCGCACATTCGAAACATCATTCCGTTCGTTACGTATTACACAGGTATATTTTTTCGCGCCGAAAAGATGCAGCCGCGTTTGATTTATTTCTTCGCGCTCGCAGAGCCGGCGGAATTTTCACGCTCTGAGATAAACTAGTAACGTTATACGAGCGCGTATCGATCCGCCTCCCGCTACAATGCATAAAAAGGTACGTCGTCGCAGTCTGTCTCATGCATCATATACGTCCCTGCAGCTTTAGATGTCGATACGTTTTCATGTTTCGTTTCGAATCCTTCTATTCATTCGCGAGCGGATGGAAATGTGGATGCGAGTCGCTCGAGTTCTTCGGTTTTTATTTGATGCAGGGTACTCGCCGAAATATACGAGGTTTTGCAGCGAGACAGAATTTATTATTACTTTGACGGACGAGTCTCGCGATTCTCCGCGATAATACAATTACGACGCCTAACATTGGAAATTGGACGGTGCTGAACGAATCACGTTTAACCCTTTTAGTGTCTAATATTTTTTCTTGAGTTTCGAAGCCATAACTTTTCATGTAAACTTCATAAACAAAAATATACCACAGTGTTTTCGATAGTTTAGGACCTTCTCTTTCGAATACCGTCAAAATTAACTTGCGTATCGTTCTAAAAAAAGTTCTAACCTATTTTTCGAAAAAAATAAACGACGAAATTTCCAAAATGTATCAATAGACAATCGAAAACTGTATAGATAGTGCCATTAATATTTGTTCTTTCGAACCCCATTGATTATATTGACATGTTGATTTTTCCTCAAATTCAAGATGGCGTCATCAAAATGGCGACTTTATGACATAATCATAGAAAACGAAATTTTTATCGATTTATATCGTGTTTTCTTCCGAAATCTTATCTAACAGTTTCGAAACTTAAAATTTTCTTATATTAACTAACAATCCTCATTTATAACCACAAAATATGTCTTTCAGTGAGCCACAAAATGTTAAAATTCTAAAGAAAGACGCGTGACTTCAAAGATTCCACATATGTTAAATAATAGTGTAAGATCGAAGCGATGTCCGTGTAAGTTGGGCTCCTAAATTAAAACTCAATTTCGTGTATAGTCAAAAGCGAAGGAAATGGTCAGAGATGTTAAAACTTTTGTAATTATCCTAGCAGTGTTTCGTTAAAATTGTAAAATTGCACCGGTGGCGTGGCGTCGGTCCAATAATTGTATTGCCATATAAAGTTGAGAAGCAAAAAGTGACGGTATTCAATTAAAGTTTCATTGAGGGACAATCGATTTCGCATTCGTTAAAAAAATATAATCTTGTTATTGATTCTCATACCTCGGCGAGCGTCGTGCGATATTGGGCAACGGACGTATAGCCGATAGCAGTTAATTCTCTTTCGAGGAATGGAAACGTGTTGCAGGACGATCGAAAAGATTGTAATTATTTTATTGATTACACGACGGCCTCGCACGGTCTCATTAATATGCAATAAACGAACGATGAAATGCTTCCTTTAACGTTGATGGATGGGACGTTGGCTGATAAGCCTTTCCTGCCCGGTCTCGTGCCTCCTTCGATTATTTGATCCGGCGGATGAGGACGAGAGTCCTAGGCGAGGGCGGACAAATCAGCTTATTTCGGGCTTACCGCGTAAAATTCCTCTTTGTTCCGGTACCACGGTCTAAGAATGAAACCTAGAGAGCCTTAATGCACCCTTGTCTTCCTTTTTAACGTCCTCGTGCTCGAAGCTAAATGAAGTACCGGCCGGCCGCTCTCGGAACAATCAATTTTTCCACTGCGCAATATTACAGCGTAATATCTTGTAAGGTACAACTCGGCTGCATTATCGCCCGGTATCAGAATCTCTTTTGACGTTCGCAAATTGCAGCGCTAAATACGTTTGACAGATGTCGTTTGGTATCGGAACAAGTAATGGAGCGAGAAATGATACTCACGGTCTGTGCCTAATAGGACGCTAAAGGATCGTAGCTCTCGAATACGCGGGTGCGCTCTTGCGTAAGAGCCTTTCTGATTTCTCAGATACTCGGGCGCAGCATCGCGTAATTCCTCGGCACATAATGAGATTAAATGCCTGACGTCGAGATAAAAATGCCGATCATAAAAACAGTTTCATTTCCTCTCCCACCCTTCTCTATACGGACACATAAATTACTCCTCTCTGCTCTTCGTAAGTTCTTGGCGATATTTATGAAATGGCTCCTCATGAATAAAAGTTACATCGAACTGATATCGAATTCCCGGAGTGACGGCACGGCCTCGCTTTGTACGTAACTGCACGCCGTGTAAACAGCGGGGCGACGAAGAAAAGGGATGATCCCGTGGAAACGAATCTCGCGTCAACGCGAGATTTGCCGCTCGGGGATCGGATATCTTCGTTTAGCGCGGCTCAGCGGTCCCAGCATTGTTCGCGGCGGATAGGCTCGGGAGCATCGAGAACTCGGAGGGGGATTATGCGCCTCATTTATTATGATCAGCCTTAAAACGTCGGACTCATTTGCGCGATTGCACTTATCGCGAATGCAAAAGCGTCTCGCGGATCGCATAATGCGAGGTGCTTGGCGAGGCGCTCTTTAGAAACCGGCTAAATGGCGCGACGAGGAAAGTGCATTTTTGCCCTCCATAATATTCATACGCTACGGCGACGTTGTTCCGAGAGCTTCGTCGAGAGAGAAAGAGAGAAAGAGAGGGTAACATCTCGCGGGGAGAGCGTTTGGGATTCCGAGGGCGGCGAGGGAGAGAGCCGCGCACCCTCGCGCGTCGCCCGGCAGGTACGCGGGGCCGAGATTTTAGTGGCTCGTCCACGTAGCACGTGGCCGCGTTGCCTCCCTTTTGTCGCGCACGATTATTCCGGATTTTTTCCGCGGGACAAAGGTCGCCTGATATAAATTCATGCCGCGCTTTCGGAAATTACAAGCGATATTAACCCCGGCGGGAGGGAAGGGGGAAACTGCTGTCAAGTCATTCTCTGCGGGGCACTTTGTCTTGTTAACGTAGTCGGGGATAAAAGCTACGCAGCACAATTCCGGAGCGAATCTCTGGAGGGTCTCTCCGTTCGGTCTCTCCCGATCGACGGCGCATCGACCGGGATCGTCCCGTTTTTATCCCGCGATACTAGCCGAGCGGTGGGACTTGTTAAGCGAAAAGTGCGGTCCGCTCCTGGCTGGCTCGCGCGAGAGTACACGAAAATCCGCGCGCTGCTGGATATTGAATTATTCGATCGACCTGATTACGCCGAACGTCTCAGGAAGCTGCCCGGCAGTTTTTGCACGTTCGAGTTCTCGGCCGGCCATTATTTATCGATGCGCTTGGAACTTCATAGAATAAAATATGACTTTGTTATTTATAATTTGGAGGAAACGCTCGACATCCGTGACGTACTACATATTTATAGCAGTGATATTTCCGAAGTCATCTATATTCTCTATGAATCTCGGCTTCTAACAAGGTTTTATTTACAAGTTGTCGTTTACATCTGTTGCAGCTCGTCGACTGAACGAGTACATCCGCCACTACGAAACGCTGTCATATCCCGTCGAGGAGGTCCATCGAAGCCACCTGAGGGCGAAGAGGTCGATCAACCGCGACAGCACCGTGACGTTAAAGTTTCGCGCGCACGGCAAGGACTTCCACGTCCGATTAAAGCGGGACCTGACCACCTTTAGCAACAACCTAATCATCGAAGGACCTACGGGGGAGAGACAGTACGACTGCGACGTCTCCCACGTTTATCAGGGCAACCTAGTCGGTATGTTTTACGCCAAGATGAATATCCGTATTTTTCGATCAACCATTTGTTAAATCTACATCTATTTTTTATTGATGTACCTTTTGTTTCAAATATTTTATTCCAGACGAAGATATATATTATTTCAAATTCAAACAAACGATTTGTTTGGATACCACAAAATTTGTTAAACCCAAAGAAATCGTTTTCTCTGTGTAGTAGAATGCATGGTAAAATTTCAACAACTCTTATAAATGTCTTTAATGCCATGTGGTCCCATGATTACATGATTTTCAGGGTAAATTCTGTCCGTGTACAAAAGCGAGCGAGACAATAAAGCCAAGTTGCTCCATGTATAAATGACACAATTGCGGACAATGTTACGAATATCATGAAATTGCAAGATCGCATTTTCTTACTCGATTATATACGAGGCTTCCAGGAACGTGTTTGATTCGATATCTATTATCGTTTTAATGATGCGGGATGTCGAAATTGATTGCTCGCAAATTTCTCTGCCGTTACTTTCCTGTAAATTTCACATTGCAATTTTATTTTTACGTGACCTTTCGAAACAGATTGTACACGGCAACAATGTATTCGCCATCGATCGTACTAAAATTGTTCACCCGCGACGAATTTATTTGTTTTATTGATTCGCACTCATAATATATTTCACAATATATCCCAGCTATTTTTATAATATCGTTAGAGAACGTTTTACAATGTCGCTAGAAGGAAGGGCGGTTATTCAAAGGTACCTCGTGTATATATAAAATACCAGAAGTCTGTAACTCGAACTGTATGCCTATGCATCGATGCACTTCTCCAAATATAGACTCGCAGTATTATGACATCAAGCCGGCAATCTTCTCGATGCCCCATATTTTCGCATAAACGACGCCCGCGATGTAAAGTCAGTACAGAATCGATCGTTCGGACTTTCCACCCGCGAGAGGCTCACGTAGGGCACCAGCGTAAAATTGTACGAGTCCCTGTGCTCGTACGCGTAGTCGCAACATCCTCCGAAAATATTTAACGCGGGAGAAATAGCGGCATTTGTTTCTGCAAAAGTAATGGAACGGCTGTGAAGGCTACGTAAAGGATTCAAAGTCGAAAATATATCGATACTGATTTTACAAATAATTTGACACTTGAATATTTCTTTGGCGTTGCAACATTCATAATATTATTAATTTCGTAATAAGAGACGGACAAAATGAAGACGTGGTGTAAAATACTGCAGAAAGGTGCAGCGCGGAAAATTGTTTCTTTCCTTTGAATTGAAGTGTAATGCTGTAATTACTTTGCGTTGCAAATGATCGGTTTTGGCAGGTGGAATGAAATATTATTTTTCACTTTATGCCAAGGAAAGTTAATCTTGATGGGCTCTTGACGCGACACTTGGAATTATTAAGATGTTTATTATTCTAAAGTTGCAACGAAACATGGAATCTAATCAAATCTCGCCGAGGTAAAATCCGTCTTCGGATCCACCGCAGAATGCGTTGCTGAAGTTTAACGCTATCCTTACAAGACGCTCTGCATATTCAAAGAACTCCCGTCAAAATAAACCAAATTTAACGGAAGTGGAGGGAAGTGCTCTCAACTGTACAAACAAAGCCATACTTAAATTTATAACCTGGTGGTACGCTCAGTGGTCCGTTCGTTTCGTCGTCGGCACGCATTCCAGTTGCACTTTGCAGCCTCGTCGAAGCGGTACTATTTCTCCGTACCGCTTCCGTGACGTTGCCCGACGCCAGGTGTGGCACGCAAAAGTGCGTGTCAACGCAGGTGGAGCCTTTATTTTTCAGTCTAGTGATTTATGAAAGTTTAGCAAGCATCTTGCATTAAGAATCGAGCGCAAAAAGTACATCATTTTGTATCACGATTTTGTGCTACCTGTCGTAGCTCCAGTCAGATAGCGCCTCGAAAAGGCCATGTTTCAATTTAGGGATCGAAGGAATTCTTAGTCGTAGACTTAGCACTTCGTTAATGTTACCAAGTTCTTCGAAGTTTGACGCTATAAATCCGGTGCAACAGTGGCTCTAAACAGAAACGCTATTTAGATCGCTAAATAACCAGCAGGTCGACGGCGTTCCCGTAAGAAAGGGAGAAAAAGCTATTTAGATATGTTTTTCGGTTTCATATTTTTCGGAAATTGGAGAACTACGTACACGGAGAGAATTTTCTCTTAAAATTTATCCTGAAAATTATGTGATCGTGGGACAGCGTGACATTTTGAAGAACTTTATGAGAGTTTTTTTTTAATTTTGTCATACATTTTACTAGTGAAATGTACAGTAAAATTAAAAAAAACTCTCATAAAGTTCTCTGAAATGCCGTGTTGTCCCACGATTATATAATTTTCAGGATACATTTTAAAAGAAAATTCTTTCCGCGTAGCTTTTGAAACTTTTATCCGAACTAGAATATTCAAGATGATTATTTCGATTAATTTTTTAATTAACTTAGGAAAAAGTGATTTACTTGAAAAACGGTTTTCTTTCCGTAATAAAAGTCTCTGTAAATATTACATAATGTACTGTACACTTGACTAAAGTTTTTGTTTAATATATATATATTAAAGGTTATATATATATAAGGTTAAGAATGATAACAACATTAAAAATACGAGAAAGAACTCTAGAGTGACGTTAGAAGCCTGAAACGTTTTCCATATCGGAAGCGAAAGATTCCCTTTGTCCTTGCATCAAAAGGAATTTTGAATTGTGATAAGCTCGGCTATGCGGGCGACTCCGCTTTCCTGCGATCTATTATCTAAAAGGAAAAAGGATATGCGCGAAACGCTTTCTGAATATTCTCTCTATTATTGTCGTTTACTCACTACTCGCAATGCGCTGAGGTTTTGTCCTGCGCTTTTAATGATTCAATACCGTCTTTTCACGTCGAGCGCGTTAGTCGAAAATATTTCCCATGCATAATACGTAACGGAATGCTATCCCAACATTTCCTTTAGTACCAAATGTATTTTTGTCGACAAACGTGACTCTTTTCCGCAAAGGAAAGTAAAATATTCATTGCACGTTTTATTGAAGAAATTTTCAAATCGGATGACATAACTATGGAATCTGAATTCTCGAATTTCGCGGATGATTGACAAAAAGACATTTCTCTTTTTTTTTTTGTAACTTCCTTTGTTATTTCCTTTGATATGTTAATTTCGCAATGTCATTTATTTCACGAAAGTAGGCAGCCATTCTTGTGAAAAAACTGTCAAAAATGCCAGCCGGTTTTTCACAAATGCTACGCATGTTAGAGGATTAATTAAAAAGAAATTATTAACGTTTATATCAAGATGAAGGACCGACAAGTTACAAGTAAAAGAAGGTCAAAGGTTGAAAATTGTTGGGCAAATTAACTTGATTGGTGCAAGCAAATAATAAAATCCCATTTCTTTTTCAAATAAAAGTTAACAGAAAATATAATTATTTTCTGCTAAAAATGAACCACTTAAATTAATGAGATCAAATTCTAACAAGTTTTTATTATCGAAGTATCGTTATCGTGCGCGCGGAGTACCTGCTACGATTTTTTTTTATATTTTAGACGAGAAAATTGGCTATTCGTATATATGAAGTATTCTATTACTACAGAGAACATTTTGCGTACACCACATTTACATACTTATAAATTTTTTAACGCCATAATTAAATCAGGTTTGTATTTTGTTCTTGTTTCATTAAAAAAAATTTGTATTCTCGCGGAGAGATAAAAATATACATGCGCGCTATTAATTTTCCTATGTGCACCTCGGTTAAGCGAATAAATTAGACAGCGAGACAGCAGGAGCAGCAAGTTGCTGCGTAAGCCAGCAGTTTCTGGCGCAGAAAGTTTTGCCGAGAGACAAAGTTTCCACCATCATCGATACTTTTTCAAGCGAGGCTGGAGTCACATTCGTTCGAACATGGTTTCTTACTCGCATGTGCATCTATCCAAATATCCGTATTACTTCCACAATTTGCTTTCCTTTTAACTTCAACAAAGGAGGAAGAAACACAAGAGACGAGAATTTTTTTTCCCAATATCATTTTAATGTCACTTTCTGGAAGAGGATGCTATAATTATTTATGCATTACTCACGTCTTATGTGATCTTTTAAAGATTCGTGACATTAAACAGAAATCCATTTCGCCGTGAATATCTTTATTCGTTGTACTTAAAATAAAACGCGAGTTTCGTGCGCTTAAAGATTTATCGGCGCGATTACGGCGATAAAAATTTCTACAGACATTCACGGCACGCATCTGATCAGGAATATATCTTCTGCTTTCAGGCGAACCTGGTAGCCACGTGTTCGGAAGTGTCAGTGATGGAGTCTTCCACGGGAAGATAGTATCACCGAAAAGTGGTGCGTGGTACGTGGAAAGGGCGCATTACTACTTTCCGCCGCATGAGATAAACGAGACGCTGCATTCTGTGATCTATCACGAGAATGACGTCGGTGATCCGTACGTGGACGTTCGACAAGGTAAGGGCGCGAGAAAAAAGAAGCAGGATTCTTTCTCCCTGCCGATATTATCTCCTGTGGCGCACGTCATCGTTCGTGCGTAAGTTCGCGAATATAGTTTGTTTAGCAGGGAAACGACTTTTAAAGCCTCGGCCAATTTATTATAAACTTTCAATCGAGGGGTAAACCGCTGAAGGCATTGTGGTGTACAGATTTGCGGCATTACTGGGCATTTTTTGGGCATTGGGCCTTGCTGGAGCATTGTAAAGATAAAATAAGATAAAATAAGATAATAAGATACAGTAATGCCCACTGGGCATTAGTGGGCATTGGTATACAAAATTTTGGTCAGCGGTTTCCCCCTCGCTTTCAATACTAAAATATCCGATGTTATATACTTTATATAATATACTTTTATTATAAAACATTTAATTTTAATGCAGCTAGAAAAAGAGACACGTTAAAATCTTATATAATTATATCTTTTAAATAGTGCATTGCATCGATGCGTATGTCGACTCTCGTGAGATTGTACCATGACTTTCCCATACTCCCGCGATTTGTAAAGCAAATTTGCAGCGGGTAAATATTTTTTTCGTTGCCTTTGCAGTTTACAAACTTTTGATTAGCTTATTTAGCTTATTTATATTCGTAAACTTACGGACGATAACATAAACTGCGCATTGGACTCGTGAAAGTTTGTTTAATATCTGATCGAAACGACTTGCGTAATGACTTCGGACAAAGCTGCGAGCTTCATTATGCACACGAAGTAGCAGCGTGTACCTAATGTGCGTTCGAGGAAAATGATAAATTTAGATTGGAAACGATTTAGTTAACTACCGGCCGCGATAATAATTGTTATGCCTGTCGTGCATGAAAGATTCGCTAATTATAAGGCGGCCGTGAGAACGTTTTTAAACGCTCGTTCGGACATGTTCAATACCGACGACCTCGAAGTGGCGCCTCACGACATCGTGCACCTCCACTCTCCACCCTTTTGTCACGCGATGCTTATCTTCCGCTCTCTTCTCGGAACATCTTCCGCTTTCTTCCTCTGGTACGATCTTTTAACGGGCGTTTTTAAAAACACGCCCGTCCGTCAGAGCCGAGCCACTCGCCTTAATGAAAGGGTCGATTAATTGAGGATGATTGTAAGAAGAGGGTTCTTTCATAGACATGTTAATTAGCTCTCCGCTGCGTCCTGAGGGTAGGAGCCGACTCGTACGTCATATATAATTTTATCATTACTCACACATTGAGATCACCGAGATAAATATATTCTGCTCTCGCGCCAAGTCTCTTCGGCGATAAAAGAAATCAAGGGGGTAACCACTTAATGTAATCATGGGACAGTGTATCCGAAATCATTATGAGATCCTTACGAAATCTCCATGTAATCGTTTTGTCTTCATTTTCAAGTTTCTTCACTTGTTAGACAATAAGCATTAACACAAATTTGAAGGAATAAAGGACTAAGAGCCGTGACAGGGTATTAGTGTCTAAATATTTTAGTCTAAATTTATTGCGAAAAAATATCACCTCAGCCAAGGTTTGAACCTGGACCCCTCCCTATCGCTAGGCGGGCGTCTCAACCAATTCGACCACCGAGGCATATGGCAATATTCATCGCAATAAACAGTCTAATGTTAATTCCCGAATGCCATATTCGTGACAGTATTCGAAAACGAGAACTGCGCGCCGACTAAAATCGCCAGTCTTAAAACACAGTACAATCATCCCTGCAATGTATCCCCATTATTACGCTCCCTGGCTGAGGTGATATTTTTTTGCAATAAATTTAGAATAAAATATTTCGATACTAACACCCTGCCACGGCTCTTAGTTCTTTATTCCTTTAAATTTGTTTAGAAAAAATTAAATTTGAACATTTTCTCGAACAATTTATATCATAGTTTACGCCTAAAAGCGCGTATTCTTTTTCTTCATGCTAAGACTGAAGTAGTTGCTGTTATGGACAGTGAGTTGATACATCTTTGCGCGCAAATTTAGAACAATAAACAGTAGATACAAATGCAAAATTACTTCTCGTTAAGACCACGGTTAGACTGGTGGGAAAAGTGGAAAGCAAGGAGCCACGTTTTCTACCTAACCGAATACTACAATCTTAATTGAAATTACCTCTATAAGCAAATGTTTATTAGTAAAATCGAAAAGATATATAATGTTTTGAAGAAATCTTGCAGCTCTTAACAACGTCGTCTATTTTTAAACGTGCATATAAGAAAATTATTAGTTGAAATTATTTGTAATCAGATGAAATTGTATGAAATCTAATGAAATCGTGTAATCGGTGGGACAACATTTTAGCTAGTGGTTACCCCCTTGAAAGAAATATTACGTTCGAGGGCGGAAACTCCACCCGGGCGAAATTATTTCAGAATTTGTCGGGAAATTAGCCAGTTGGAACGAAATTGCTAAGCTCCTCGGTATTCCCCTGCGTGTATACGCTGTCGGAGAACGAAGTGGCGACCAGCGTAAGATTACGTCGTTTAAGCGTGGATATGGATATCGGGAAGTCCACGGTGGTACGGTATTCCGTGCACCATTTAGAGAATCGTTCGAGAGGAAAGTAGTGCATTCGGCGCGCAGATCGAATTGCCGGGAGTGCAGTCTCGTCCTGGATCCGGGGCGTAGTCCACGCGGCTGCTGCACGGACGATCGGATTTCGAGCTGCATCATAAACGGCCAAACGTTGAAATAAACAGGCCGGCGTATTGCGTGTAATATTTATCGCGCCGGCCGTCCGTGCATGCTGCGTGGACCAAATCCCTCCACCTTCTCGCTGTGTTTGCTCTCCGGAAGGACATCCGACGTTATGAGTTTGCTACATTTATTGGAGCATTTTGCACGATGACGCTAAGGAGAGTCGAGAGTGGAGTAGGGCGAATTGCACTCTAGGTTCTTTTGGTGCGTGATGCGTTATTAGACGCGGGACGTAGTATTAGAAGCTAACGCGAGAAAAGCGCAGAGAGGAGATAACGAAGTATATTTTATGAGAAAAAAAAATCTGAGGGCCCGTCAAGTCGTGTACTCGCGTAAACTTACACGGTCGGTCTCGCGCGCGTGGTACTAGCTTCGCTTACACTTGGCGCGAGACACTACCGTGTCTCGTGATTAAGTATACTGAGTGTTTTTTTTCACTTCAATCGCCCCAGGCAAATATCCCGAAAAATATGACAGATGCGGAAAAACGTTTCAGATAAAAGTTGTTTGGTTCGAAGTTTCGAGTTTGGTGCTGTAACTTTCAAGCCTCATAACTCAAAAAATACTGAATGAAAAAGCACTTTATTATAGAGTTTTGAAAAGCTCTCGAGGTAAGCTACAAAAATATGCAATTAAAAATAGGGGTTCCATTTAAAAAAACAAAGTTGAACTCCATGTGACCTTGGCACTCGAGGTCAAACCAATGACACCATCTTATGTCTCTCTTCGAACCAAACTTTTCTCTGAAACATTTTTCCATATCTTTCATATAATATTTTTTGAGATATTTGCCTGGGGCGATTAAAATGAAACACTGTATATTAAGTCGATATGTCACGCACTTCTGCTGATAAGGAAAACCTATTCCAATTTTTCTCGAAAACAGTTTTACAAAATAACTTGAAATTTTTACAATCGACGTCTGATTAATGGAAGAGCAAAGTGGTTCTCCGCGTTTTCTCTGATTTGGAAAGAAAACTTAGTTTTATTTACCACGCAAGATCTGTAATTTTTTTTTTCAACATCAGGAAAACACGGAGAACCACTTTGTTCATCTATTAGTCGGACGTCGATTGTAAAAATTTCAAGTCATTCTGTAAAGTCGTTTTCGAGAAAAATTGAAAGCGGTTTCCGTGATTTCTTTACCGACGGAAGCGTGACACAACACCTTAAGGTGATGCTGGAGTCTCTCTGTTTTACCGACATTTTTTAATTAGGGATATCTTTTAATTGGCTTTACCGAATTGCAAATTTCTTGTACACGATTAAAGTTCGCACAAAAATAAAAGTCCGTCTGCTCGA